ATGCAAATAATGACTAATAATAAGAAATACACAGCAAAGAAAGAAACAGTGAGGTGTCAAGCAGGCGTCAAGCTGGTGTAGTAGTCCTTGTAACTGACTCCTGAAAGATTCCGCTGGTGTGGGGGTGTCGTGCCACGCTCCCTGTCTCCGGGCCAAATGACACCCTCTCACGTGTCATACAGCTGTATAATATACCACGTGTCATATTTACCTACATGACCAGACCTCGTTGGCGCTCCACCTAGAGTGAAATACATTTTATCCAGTAACTGTAGCGGCACTCGCGTTATTACCGGTGTAACAAGGGCACAATTCTGCGTCCCAGCGCCACGCTAAAGTGACCCTTACTATTCTTGGCAGTGAGGAGTCTTGAGGCTACTTCCTCGCGGGATTATAAGTCCACATTCCAGTCAGGGCTGTCGTGTCATGTGTCACCAAATTGTCGCCGGGTTGCTCAAGCTGAAAAGAGGTCCAAGGTCTAGTGCATTAGTCACGGTAGAAGCGACTTTATTTTACCCCTCCATTAACGTCATATTAGGTACGCGTACAGGGGTAAGGTTAAGTCCGGGCCTCTCCCTCCCTCCTGCGGAAGTATGCTCGCTCGCGGTGCCGCCCTCCGCCAGCCAGACCAACCCACGCGTTGTTGTATAATTGAAATACGCGTATATTTTATCGTTGTTTATGTCGCCTGTGAAGTGCGGGTGAATCAATACCTTGCGAGTATTGGTTGTAAAACGATCCCGTCTGTTTTATGAGAGAGATGATTTACGTTGTAGCGTCAGACAAGTGTGTGGGCAACAGGGACAGGGTAGCTTACTAGTCGCTCTGGGCTCTTGCTTCCCCGCCTGGGACAGTCGAGGCTACCAGGAAAAAACAAAACTCGCGATATTAATTTTTTGGACTTGGCAGGAACTTTTTCCCAAAACTTTATTTTTTTCCCAGTTGTTAGACATTCCGTCTTGACAGGTGCGACCAGGGGAAGGGGACACCCTCCACCAGATTGAATTGTAACCTCACGAAATGTTGGCCAGACGGTCATCTACTTAATTGATATTAGGCACGCCATCTTGGGGGCTGGACTCCTGCGACTTACCTTGCTGCTGCCACCAGAAAAACCCGATTGTGTGTGTATAGGGGGGTCTACACCAGCCGAAAAAGTACCCTTAATCAAATACGCCTGTTATTATTTGTTTGCGTTATTGCTTGATCTTAAAAATCCTGGAGTTGTTTCACCATAAGACAATTTTCTAAGATAAAAAAATGACAAGAGTCGTGGTAGTAACTTTAGAACTAATTTAAGATAAATAGTGTGTTATTTATTGTCATGTATCTTCGGTTTTGTTGACGTCTACAGTAGAGTGTATGGTTAGTTGGCGAAGAATTTTAAATGAGTTTGATCACTTGGAAGAAATTTCGGCATGACAAAAATCATCCATTACAATTTAAGACTTTGGTGTAGGATATCAACAGGCCGCCATATAGTAAGGTTTTCTTTCTCCATAACAGCATTTTGTGGGATTAATACGTTGGCAGACAGACTCGTTAGTCAATAATTATTTACATTGTATCGGCTAACCTTATCATGACTGACTTTCAGATAACTGTAGCATGATTGATTGTTTCATCCTAGACATCAGCTCAATCGTCAATAAATTTTTGTCATTATGAGATGGAATATTTTTAAATGGGCCGAGTACCAGACTTCCATCATCAGACTTCAAAAATCACCTATTGATTATCCGGAAAACGCGTTAATATATAAACTTGTTTCCTTTTGTTCCATTAAATGAGTATTGTTACCAGGGGGATGTGATGCTTAGAATAATTTTCATTAAAAGCGGGGGCGGGGGTGTAATCATCGAGCTGTACAGGGCACATGGTATTAGCTGCAGGGTGTCGTAATTCTGGTCCAGGGATGAGGATGACACGAGTCACTTGATTTACGTAGCCATGGTAGATAGATGTTTTTACTCTCCCTCTCTCTCTCTCTCTCTCTCTGTTGGAACTCAGGGACATTACTGTGTTGAGTCAGCTCTAGTTTGTTGGACACCTTTGCAGTTTTTATTTTGATAAAAGATGAATCAATTTATTCAACAGCGTTACACTTCTTTGTTGGTAAGAACGGAATCCAGTTAGCATGGCAGCGTTTAAGAACCTTTAGTGTATTTCTCAGGATTTGTCTTCTGATCAAACTACTGTTGAGGACCAGAATTGGACACTTACAGTATGTTTCCTTTTTAGGTTGTGTAGCTGTGAAGTAGACAAAACAATTGTTTACTAATACTGTTTTATTTTGTCAGGTTATTTTTCATGGACAATGTTATCCCTTAATCATGCAAGTGTGAGATGATTGGTACCGTGAGTCTGATTGTGGCGTTCCTTCTTAGTGTCAAAACAAAAATAAATGCAAGTTAAGGTTTACAGGTTCGTTGATTTCCAGGCGATGATTATGCTATACATAAAATGTCTAAACATAGATATAAATGTAATTTACTTAAATTAATGGGCTAATGGGCTCCAATTGGTGATTTGCGTTTAGTCCTGGGCTGGTCATACGTCTGGCAGAACTGCGTGAGACGGAGAAAGATACTCTCGAGGATTAATCAATCTGGAAAGACCTTTAAAGAGCTGTTAAACATTCATATGGTGTGGCCTTATATACAGAAACGGAACTGCATGGTTTTCACATTTTTTCATTTGATAATATCCTTCAGATTGTATCCTTGTCCACAATAACTGGCAGCCTTATCTAAAACTTCAGAGGATTAAGAAGGATTTTACTTCTTTCTACCAATATTTCTTACTCAAAGTTCTTCCGTATTTAAATATTCGGCCCCACTACACCGTTGTTCACAATAGTAGCAAAAACTTGCAAGTCGATTTCAACTGAAATTCGTGAGCTTAGCCGATCTGCATCTTCAGTACTACTGTATATGATGCTGTTGGAGACCCAAGGGGCACTGAGAATCGATGTTGTGCCTTTATGCCTCGTCTCGGAAAGAAAACAAACCGTGACGTCACGTGAAAATACGCGACCTGGGTGGCGTGCAAGGGGGAGGCGCCACCACCTCTTGTTGACATTGGAATATTTACTTCTGAAACACGATATTTGTAATTCCTGGGGGAGCGATTTATTCATCACCAGAGTTCATGGCACCGCGCCTTACTCTCGACTCCCAGGCAGGTTATCTGTATCAGTCAATATATTGGTCCTGATTTAAGGCGAACTTCAATTTCGGACACGATAGCTGGTGCCAAACTGAGGTGTAATTATTGAGCAAGATATTAAAAACACTGACCCTTTCTTATTTTGGTTAGAAATATCCGCTCAAGGGCTCAAGGTAAACAAAAAAATCTTGCATATTTTTAAAACACAAGAAACAACTTGTATAAGTACGTTCCAAGTATAAAAATAAGCACTGATAACCCTTTAGATCAGCCAACACCAGCTTATCACACATTCAGAAATACAAACACTGTATGAAAATAAACACAGGCTGGCACAATCTCTTCCACGGAAATCGGGTTGGGGCGGTGCTCCTCGGGGTAAGAGTGGCACATGAGTAGTAGTAGTCACGCCATCTGGTAATGAGACTCCTTGCAAGACCAGTCATGAAGCCAAGCACCCGTCGATGCTCATACCCTAACCAGAGATGGGGAAATATATCATGAACCATGGTTTCTATGACGCCTTGATCTGGTCTACTGATGTTTGGTTAGTTAAATATCGTTAAGCAAGTTTGCATTACTTCTCTCGTTTTTTTCGTTTTAATCAACCAGAGAAATTAGCGTTTTAGAATTATGGTAGGTTTACATGTTAAATGTACAATCAAAGAAAAAAGTCGTGTTACACCCCCTTGGCGTTATGTTCCGAAATCCACGAAAAATTTGGGTAAAGTGATAGCAAAGCTTCGAGGTTCGAGTCTGAACGGAGAACTTAATAAAAAATCTTCGTCTTAGGTTCAGAATACTGTTACACGGCACGGTAAGTGCGTGGGCAGTCGTATTTGCCTTAGCCCACCGGGCCGCCGCGGTCTGTTAAAATCGCTTTCAACTGCGTAAAAGCGTAATTACCCATCGTCATCCAGAAATTAGGGTGGTAACAAGGGATACTACGTAACGCCACGATGCGTTATTGGGCGACCCCATTGTAATGTATAATGTCAGACTGCCAATTTCCTCTTAACCTTCCCAGCCGGAATAGTGTTGGGAGCCTCTCAAACCAAAGCCCGGGGAGGAAATCCACTGACCATGTTTATATGTTCTGAGAAACCGTGAATATGTCTTCACATTAAATATAAAATTAATGGGCCAAGTGCTTTGGGTAAGAATGGTCGAAAACTTTTTGGTTCACAAGCACACATGGACTGTTTGTCCTCTGCTCCCCGGCAGGGCGGGGGATGAAAATAGTGTAACCCTTCCCCTTTAATTTCATTACACTTGAACTGGAAATTATAGTGACGCCAATTAAAAGGATAATAATTATTGTAAGTTATCGTTAGTGTGCTGTGATGAGGCTTTTAATTGTAAACTATATTTGGCAGTCGTTACAGTAGAATTTATTGATTTTAATGTAACACGAGACACATTTTAATTACAAATCTCTGGTCCTTGACTATGAAGTAACCTCTAGGGATTCCCAGGAAACTGTATAGTTGACCTTAAATTAATTTTACCTCTCTTTGGTGTCGAATAATATGTCAAACCAGCAAAACTCTTCGTCCAAAGGTCATGCTGGTAACCCTGATTTCCTTATATGGGACTACAGTATGTGGAGTCCTCATGATGAGCGGAGGTCATGAGAAGAGTTTAGAACATCGATTCTGTCGTTCGCATGCACAACAAAAAATTTTAAAAGGACAAACTTCACTCCTGATAATCTTATAATATAAATCGACCTTTTAGAAACTGTATTGTGGAAATCATGGTAACAAAAATAAATTAAAATTTCCTTATTCTCTGTACTATAAAATAGTAAAAGGAAAAAAAAATCATTTCAGATAATGTATTGACATTCTTGCAATCACACCCTCTCATGGACGAGGCGGTGGCCCATGAGCACAACAAACCTGTATTCTTCAAGAGGGACCTCATCTTTACCCACCTGGTTGTCGACAAAGTCACGGGAGGAACTTATGGCCAAGAGAATACATACACTGTCTACTATGCTGGTTCACGTAAGTTACAAATTTTAACCATCATAGTTCCAGACAGTGTCATACTTTGAAACGATGCTTACCAATATCATACTTGAATTGATCCTTCATATCATACATCGAAGTAATCATTATTATCAATACCATACCCTGAATTGATAATTTCTATCAATTTCATACTTGAAGCGTTTCTTATCAATGATACCATTATCACTACCATACCTTGAAGTAATCATTATCATCATTACCATACCTTGAAGTAATCAGTGTTATCATTATCAAACCTTGAAGTGATCATTCTTAGTCTAGTTTTACCAATACTGAATTGAAAAAGAAAGGGTTCATAAACTCATTATACAGACTGTACAGAACTTATCTATAGGCATACAGTATATAGTTTTATTGTCGTGTCCTTTTCATTTTGAATCATAAGTGCAATATTTTATTTTAGAAGCTCTTGAATTTTTAGGTAAAATATAAATCTTCGAAAATGACTTTGTGCAGACCATTATCATGTCAGGAAACTAAATGTGTTTAAAATGAAGAGGGTACAGGTATTATGATAACATTGTGCAGGATATCCATATACTGTACATTAGAAGTAAAATGAACTAAGTAAAGTTAATCTAGGTGTAGTACCGGTACTATTTTCAAGATTTCTTCACTGTTAATTCATCTTGTGTGACCTTTGTGTTATGCTCACTATATTAAAGGTCATAATTTCTTGTAGTCTAATTCATTGATATACCCATAGTATATATCAGAGTGAATAAATGACCCCCAGATCTACTGTACAGGAATTAATGTTAAATTATCAGTACTGTATTAGTTAGGAGTTCAATATGCAGGTGGGCCCTCGAATACAGTACCGGCCACTCTGCCTCCTTGTGTACCGAAGGCTTAGTATACAGTGTGCTGTATCCACTGTTCCTAGTGGAGCCCATTTTCACTTTCATCAGTAGTGAAGGAATTACTGTAGTGTTTGGCTCATTGGTAATTGAATGAATACATTGGTCTTAATTCTTCCACATGTGAATTGACTTTTGGTTGATCTTGAATAATAATAAGCACCTTGTCTTGGTAGTGGAAGGTCGCGTGTATAAGGTGGTCGAGTGGATGGATGATGAGGGCGTCTCACACTCAGAGCTTCTAGATGTATATGAAGTCACCACACCTGAACCCATCAGAGCTATACAAATATCCAAAAAGGTATGTTTGATCTGCTGTACAGACTTGATAAATAATGGGTAAGTGTTGAATAATAAATTGGTAATTTGCATTACATTAAATTTAAGATAAAGAATTTAAAAACTCATGAGATTTGTATTGTATTTTAGTAAATGAGTTCACTCTCTTTGGAAAAAATGTATTTCACAGTTCAACATCAATTGGCTTAACATAGAAATTTATAAATATCTCTTAATATTCATGGAGTCTCTCTTGATGTGTAGGTCTGAATTATTTTTTCCCTAAATTTTATTTGATCAAGGTTGTGTAGTGGTACAGTGTGAAGAATACAATACTGTACAGGACAGTAAAATTACAAAAGGCCAAAATTTGGCCTTTCTGTGACCACAGTACAGTAGTAATGTACTATACTTAGATAAATTGTATTTTATTAACACCGTTGACATAAACTTCTTGAGTGGTATTACTATTTTTTCTTTAAATATATCTGAGGGAACCTGTGTTTGCTTACAAATGCAAGTTCTTGGTGACGTGTTCCACACAAGGCTGTACACTCTCGGTCACATATGTATTATGGTATCTTGCATACAGTATTTCATTTTACTTAAGCTTAAATATTTTCACCTTATTTTAATTAATAATACCTGTAGTTTAGGCACAGTAGTATAAAATTTGCCATGTAAGGCATGTGAAGTTTTTATTGAATATTCTTGGATAATTACAGTACTTGTAGTTATGGATATCCAGATTTGGCTTGTTGATATGAAAGGAATTGCTGAAACAATTTGAAGTTTTTCCTTACACTAGTTTACTTCTGCAGCACAAGTCTCTGTATGTCTCATCTGACACTCGTGTGCGCCAAGTTGATCTATTCATGTGCCACGGACGTTATGATAACTGCCTTCGCTGCTCTCATGATCCTTACTGTGGCTGGGACAAGGATGCTAATGTGTGCAAGCCATATCAGCCTGGGTAAGTACCTACCGGTAAATGAAGATTATTTTTTAGTATAGAAAGTGACAAAGTTAGTTGTATACACGGTAATGAAGTACAGTATCTATCCACACTGTGTGTGAAACATTGTGACACCATGGACAAACGACTTTGACAACCCTAGGACTGCAGGTACTGTACATACACCCTTTCATGGTCTCAAAGCAGAATGCTCATTTTAACTCTAGTCCAAATATTATGATTTTCATCTTCATATTCCAAGGGTGTTTTGATAATCCTTTCTACAGCTTTTAATGTTGAGAATCCCAAAAGCAGTAGTGTATTTAAAATAGCTGATACTCTCGTCATGTTTACTGTACATTACAGTATTTGATTATCACACATGTGTTGCTGTATTCAACTGTTTCTATGGTGTGAAAGAAATTTGAGTTATTGTACCTCGGTAAATATGAACAAGAAATACTGTATACTGTAGATTATCGACTTTTCGGGGAAGTAGATTATCGATTTTTTGGGGAAATATTGCTTAATTTTCCGAAGTAGATTATCATAGAAAACGGGAAATTTGTATCACAGAAAATGGGAAATAATCTACTTTCTGGGAAAGTTGGTTATCTACTTATCATAGAAAACGGGAAATTTGTATCAAAGAAAATGGGAAATATCTACTTTCCGGGAAAGTTGGTAATCTACTTTCCCAAAAAGTAGATTATCTACTTTTCGGGAAAGTAGATTATCGACTTTTCGGGGAAGTAGATTATCGATTTTTTGGGGAAATATTGCCTAATTTTCCGAAGTAGATTATCATAGAAAACGGGAAATTTGTATCACAGAAAATGGGAAATAATCTACTTTCTGGGAAAGTTGGTTATCTACTTTCCCGAAAAGTAGATTATCTACTTTTCGGGAAAGTAGATTATCGACTTTTCGGGGAAGTAGATTATCGATCGAAGTAGATTATCATAGAAAACGGGAAATTTGTATCACAGAAAATGGGAAATAATCTACTTTCTGGGAAAATTGGTTATCTACTTTCCCCGAAAAGTAGATAATCTACTTTTTGGGAAAGTGTTATCCTATACCGAAACTTCATACTGAAGTACTGTCTTACCAAAAGATGTAGCAACAAAGCTTCTCATTCTGTCTTTTTATAGTTACTAAAGCTCCTTTGGGGATTTTTCAATATTTAACTGTTTCTTCTCCTCAGCCTGCTGCAAGATGTTACAGGTTCAACTCCAGGACTTTGTGATGCTTGTATTGCTAAGAAGAAGATGGTAGTGACCTGGGGCCAGAGCATCCACCTGGGGTGTGCAGTTAAACTTCCACGTCCCATCTCTCTAAAGGACATCACTTGGCACCACTACTCAAAGGATAAGGGCAAATACCAGATCAGATACAGGTGGTTAACTGAAAGTTAGTTGTCTAATAATAATGATAAAATATTCATTTATGTGTTGAAATCACTTGCAATACCTGAATTCACCAAAACAAATACCCTGTACCTGTTTAGGTTAGTTGATATCACACATGGTCATCTAGTGTTTATCCATAACTTTGGTGAGGCATATGCTGCTCTGCACATCTAGACTGACATAGTTGTAGAGGTGTTGAACTTTAACTAATTTATTGTTCAATAGTAAACATTTGGTGTAGGTATTATAGTACGGTGATATCTCTGTTAGCCGGAACAATTGGTACAGAGCATATCCCGGTAATGAGACGACTCTGTCAGACCTGGAAAGAAAAATCTCCCATCCCCGGAATTTTCCGGGTAACGGAAAAATGTTTTCGGAAGTCCTACAAATTATCCATTACATCTTCTCTCGAACCCGTAATAAATCCCTCATCCCCGGAGTTTTCCGGGTAACGGAAAAATGTTCTCGGAAGCTCCAGAAATTGACCATAACATCGTCTCTCGAACCGGAAAAAAACTCCCCCCATCCCCGGAATTTTCCGGGTATCGGGAATTTTTTTTCGTAATTTTCAGGAAAATGTACCCCCTCGGAAAATCGTTCCTAAAGCCGAATTTTTCTGGAAAATTCAGGTTTGGGAACAATTTTCCCAGAAAATTTCAATACAGGTACCGGCTATCGTAGAGTTCCGGGTTTGAAGGATTCTGGCTAACGGAGATATTACCGTACAGTATGTGATAATGGAGATTAAAATTATTATATAGGCCATGAGAATTAGGTTTTTGCTTGGTGGATCTCATTATTATTTTGTTTAATGCACTTGTACAATTATGTAGTTTAATGTCAGACTGCTTCCTGCCATAAAGTTAGATGGAAGCTTTCCCCCACAACTGACCACACGTATTATCATTGTTCCCCTACTGAGGGATTCACAATACAGCCCGGCTAAATGACAATGCGTTAACAAGGAGAAAAGATAGTGTCTTATATCTAACGGTACTGAATAAACTATAGCAGATCACTAGATGTACAGTATAAACAACATGGGTAGTCAGACAAGGTGAGTCGTGCTTTAATATACCTAAGCCTTGTTTGCTGAATCCCTTATAAATAATGAAAAGAGGACAGTACTTCCATAGTATAAGCTTTAGCTACTTAAACACAAACTACTGTATATAAATATCATCTTGGTGGTTACTTCAGATGCTCATTGAAAATGTTATATGCCACCGCAGCTAACCCACACAGGCATGGTAAATGAGCATAAAACATTGATGATCATCGTCATATTGAGGACCCATTCTATTTTTTTTGCACCTTTTTTACTGTTCTAAACAGTCTTTTGCTCTTATTGTTGAAAGGTTGGGGATATACTGTACCATATTTTGACTACTATAAGCTGCCCCCAATTGTAAGCAGCAGAGTAAGTTTTGGATAGAATTTATGCAAAAAAGCTTGGCCTTAGATTCTAAGCTGCACCTTGAAGTTGAGGGGATGAAAATGATATTCACTTTCAAAATTGTTCATAAGACGAGAGATATGTATGTACAGGCATCCCCTGCTTTATGGAAGGGTTCCGTCCCTGGAAAATTGACCTCATCGCAAAACCTATTTTCCCATTGACTTCCATTATAAAACTGGAGATGCGTTCCTAAGGATTTTTTTCGGCCTCAAAAAAGTATTTCAAGCACTTTTATGAATGAAAATAAACATTTATAAACACATACAATACAGTACATTAAATAATTTGACATACAGTACATGCAATATGAAGAGAAATACAGTTGGAATAAATAAAAATATTGTACTGTACTCACCCTTGCCGCTTCGTTTTGCACTACTGCGGTTACTTCCACTTGATGGCCTCTTTCCAGTCATCTTGAATAAGGGTAATGCACTGTACTGTACTTACTGTATGTTTGTAAAAGTTAAATCAAACTGCTGGGGCGAGAAACATGCACGCACACTGGATGTAAACAATGGAGTGACTCCTCGTGGTGGTAGTAAACACCAAGAAATCCACACTTAACAAATTATAATTAAAAAAAAAAGTTATTTTTTTAAAAGTGATTTTTGTTAAATTGTTAAAATTTACCCCAATTTCCGTAAGGGTGGATTACAGGCTGTAACGCAAAATCATTGGTCATAATTTACAAATTCCGTAACCCGGGCTTCTGTAACGCGGGGTATGCCTGTACAGTACTGTATATGATATTGAGTACTGTACTGTAATTGTGTAGATATCTGTATATTTGTTGATTGGGGTAACGAATTTGTGGTGAAAAATACACAACCACATAACAAAAGTAGTACATGTGGCAACAGTGCCAATGAATGAAAAGGAACAGTTACTAGTGATGATGTAACAAAAAGAAATATATCATCAATTTTGTTGGTGAATGCATAAATCATGCCTGAGAGTATACTATGAATTCTCTTGGAAAGCTGACAGTGTGATAAAACATCATAAAAGTTGTGAAGTGCTGGGAGCAATGTGCACCCCCTCAGAAATCTAACCCAAGCGTTGACTGGCCTGAGCTGTGATGGTGTCTTTATGTCATGTGACAGACTTACGGATTTTCTCCCATGTCGCCAGAGTGGAGTTCTCATTTGTGATATATTGTTACGAAAAAAATCTGATATAATTTACTAATACCTGTACTGTATGTATAATGTACATTGACTCAAGAGTGTGATTCTTAATTTGCTGATATCTGAATATCATTAAGTTACCATAGAACAACAGTGTATATTACCGTTAACATAATGCATACTGTTGTTGCCACACACACTCACTTTCAAGAGTTTTTTCATATACAGTAATCCCCCAGGTTACGGAAGGAACGCATCCTTGAAAAGTTGAACATAATTTTAAATTCCATAATGTAAACCCCATTTTCCCATTGACTTCCATTATGTAATTGGAGAAGCGTTCATAAGGAAATTTTTTGGCAGAAAGAAGTACTGTAATAGAAGCACTTTTATAAATGAAAATAAAACATTTTAAATACATTATTTTATGATATTAATATGATGATAAAAACAGTAGGGTCTCCGGGTACTTGTATCCATAGAACGCTACCCCAGTTTTATGTGGCTTATATGTGTCCGACTCTTAGGTCTCGTGCTTGCGTTAGTCAACCCACCCACCATCTCTTGCTAGCTCAGCATGTTTATCATTCATCCGTGTTGTTTAAAAAAGAAAATAAAGCTATAAAATAAGATAAATTAAGTACAGTACATAGGTGTGTACTGTATGTGTGGGAACTGAACGTGTGTGGAGGTGGTGGGCTATAACTGCGTTGCCGACTCATCAGTCTACCTCCCTTCCTTCCTCCCCCGATGTGAGTCAGCTGGATGACTACCCAACTGTACCAGTATATGTGAGGAATAAATAGTAATAATAATAATAATAATAATAATAATAATAATACAGGGTATTCACAAAATGACTTGAATTTAACTTGCCACAAAAGATGTCGAGTGCTGGATGAGGCGAGTTTCATATCCAACGTAATTCCTTTAAGGGCTCTTTTAGCACTACTGCTTTCATTTGCACTTGATGGCCTCTTTCCACATATCTGTATGTACACTGGACATTCTTGAATAATGTACAAACATAAGTGTTAAATCCAAGAGTTGGGGTTGAGATCGAGCGTACACGCTGGGAGGTAACAAGACGCTGAGTTTGCATGGGTATGCCGGCATACCCACACTTGGTATTAGCAAACACCAAGAAATCCACATCAAATTAATTATAATTTCTGGGGTTTTTTTATTATTAGTATACCCTGTACTGTATCATGATTTTTGTGTTGAAAATTTACACCATTTCCTTAAGGTCAAATTTACAAGCAGTATCCTGAATTTAGTGATCATAATTTACAAATTCGGAATGGGTGAATTTCCGTAACATGGGTGATACCTGTATCTAAATTTGAAAAGCTTTCATAGCAGCTTGATAATGTATTATTTTATGCATGTGGAAAGTCAACAAACCTTTCTAATGCCTCCATGTTCCAATTACATTGGAATGATACTAACTGCCTATAACTGTTCGTTGCCTACACCTCGGTAATGTACAAGTACTATATTTTCATCTTCTAATGTACGGACAATTACACACTTGCCTTCCTCAATCTACCATATAAATAATACTCATTTTATATTAAAAGAATTATTTAAAAATTATAATAACGTTAATATTAGTAAATGATTTAATGTTTTGGACACAGTAGATACGGTTCACTGAACTTCATTCATGCTAACAAACTCACAGGTAGATAACATGCCGAGTTCACTGTTGAAGAGTGATGATAGTAAGGGAAGTATTGATGGTATTTTTAACTTAGGATGAGGTAGTAATGGTGTTGGGAACTCGTTAGAGGTGGTGCTAGAGCTCGTAAGGAATTAGAGTAATACTTATGGGTATTTTTGTAGTGCTATTAAAATTTGTATCAGATAATAAGCAGCACCTCCACTTTCGCCATTTTTTTTTTTTACTAAATGTAGTGCAGCTTATATTTGTCAAAATAGGGTATTGTTAAAAACAAGTTTGTGGATGATGTGGAGTAAGTGACATAGGTGAACTACTGAACTGTTCTCAGACTGAACTGTGTGGCATTACATGTACTAGGTCTTATGAAAAGTCACTTGTGTTTGGTGGGATAGGAATTTGTGTACAATATTATTTTAAACATAAATATGGTTTGCTTAAGAGTACAGTATAATATGTGCTGAAGTAGTAATGCATTTAACTATTATAACTTGAAAAGAATGAACATTTCAAGGCATAAGTCCCTCATTCTTTTAATAATTTTGTTCTAAAAAAGAAAAAAAAAGCAACCTGGGTCAGTCACAGTATTTATTTATTTTTTTCTTCATAAATTCAGGCCGGACAAGTATATAGAGACCTCAGAACATGGCTTGGTCGTGATGAATGTCAATGAAGCAGATGCTGGTCGTTATGACTGCAAGATGGGAGGAGATATTGTGTGTTCATACAATATCACTGTCGATGCTCACCGTTGTTCAGCACCAGCCCGCACCAATGACTTTCAGAAGGTAAGAACAATAATTTTTTTACTTTTAAGCTCTAAAGAATGGTGGACAGGTATTTGTAATTTACTTGTTAAATTGCCAAATAGTGTTAGTTAAGCAAAGTGCTTGAACAGGGAAGTCAGAAGTCACTGTATAAAAGGGCAATTTTACATTAAGGTTCTGTCCCAAACTGCTCCATCCATTCCACAATCCTCCACTGTTGCATCATCCACCCTATGTTGTCCTCCACCACACTTTAAGGCAGTGATTTTCAACCTTTTTCATCTCACAGCACAGTGAGCCAGGCACTTAAATGGTCGAGGCACACCATCAGTATTTAAGAACATAAGAAAATAAGGAGTCTGCAATAGGCCGGTTGGCCTGTGCATGGCAGCTCCTGTCGAGAGTTACTACCACTCTCTATCATCCATGAATCTATCTAGCCTCCTTTTAAATCTTTCCAGCATTCCAGCACTTACTACAAAGTTGCTAAGCGTGTTCCACTCGTCCACCACCCTATTTGTGAACCAGTTCCTTACTATCTCCCTCCTAAACCTAAACTTATCCAACTTAAATCTGTTGCTACGAGTCCTATCCTGCTCGGATATTATAAGAATTTTATCTATATCCCCTTTATTGATTCCTTTCACCCACTTAAATACTTCTATCATATCTCCCCACACTCTTCGTCTTTCTAGGGAATGCAAGTTTAGTTTTTTTAACCTATCTTGATATGGAAGGTTTCTAAGTCCCGGAATCATTTTCGTCATTCTTCGCTTCACCGACTCCAGTGAATTGATATCCATTCTATAATAAGGGCATCAGAACTGAACCGCATAATCGAGGTGCAGCCTAACTAGCACAAGATATAGTTGCAATAAGACCTCTGCACTCTTATTACTTACACATCTAGATATAAAACCTAATACTCTGTTTGCCTATTTCGAACATTAACGAACTGTTTTCTAGGCCATAGTTCCAGGCTTACAAGTACCCCTAAGTCTCTTTCACAAGTCAACTTCTCTAGGTTGATGTTGTTAAGGCTGTATACATTGACAGTATTTGTTCTTCCAATATTAAGTACGCTGCACTTGCTGGTGTTGAATTTCATTTGCCATTTTTCTGATCACTCCTGCAGTTTATTTAAATCCTCCTGTAGTGCATTTCCATCCTGCCCTGAATTGATCTGCCGCCCTATTTTGGTGTCATCCACAAACTTGCTTATGTCACTGCTGATCCCAGTATCTAGATCGTTTATGTAGATTATGAACAAGAGTGGGCCTAGTACTGACCCTTGGGGAACCCCACTGGTTACACAGCCCCACTCAGATTTAACACCATCTACGCTGACCCTCTGCGTTCCATCGGTGAGCCATGATTTTATCCAATTTAAAACTTTCCCCTTGATACCATGAGCCCCTCGATACCTCGATACGATAGATTTGATAGGCGGATCTACACTACGGAATTAAGGAGAGAATTTAAAACTGCCATTTGGGCTTTTAATGAACAACATTTGTTTATTTATTGCATCATTGAAAAAAAAGAGTTTAATGCACTCCATAAAAGTACCAGTAATGTCAAAACGTATCCAAAGGCTATTTTTTAAAATGCTATTTAAACTCCCGCGGCACACCTACGGATGCTTTGCGGCACACCAATGTGCCGCGACACATTGGTTGAAAATCGCTGCTCTAAGGAGAGGGAGAGGGGGTGAAAGTACCAGCCGTAAGTTATCTGCACAGCTTCACCATTGCAGTAAGAATGAATAAAAATGCTAGGGTCATGGTGTGATGGGAACTGGTGGGAAAGTACTGCTTTATTTTAATTGGTTTGGACAATGTTATGCATATTGTGCTGTGTTCTGATTGGTTTATCTAAATTCACCCCATGAATTAAACCCCCAAAAATAAATAAATAAAAAATACTCAAATAAAAGTAAAAAAAAATTACAGTTCAGTACTTTTAAGCACCCTGTATGCAAATCCTCTTGAAAGTGAGTTAAGGTACTTAGCACTGCACCTCTGAATCTATACAAAAGTATATGCAGTAATATCTGGTGAGTTTGTATTGAAAATAGTAATTTATGAAATGCAGTACAGTACTGTACTGTACATACTTTAATATCCCCATTAGTCAGAACCTTTAATCCCTGGAACTTAACCATTACCTGAAAAATATAATTTTAACATTCCAAGAAAAATCTCTCCATTCCAGGCATTCAAATGAATTTCCGAGCAGTTGCATCATGCGCCCGTAAAAATTTCATTGATGTGCAATTTTTATCCGGGAATAAGGAAATTCGTCTTAATACAGTACCCAGAAATCTTTCAAACCCAGAAATGCTCTGCACCAACTGTTCTGGCTAACGGGGATATTACTATTAATTCCACCTTGAAAACATGTCTTTTCATCTGATAAGCGAAGTTGAACAACATTGAGTTCTTGATTAGTACATATATGGAACTCAACCCACAATATTGGGTGACTATTCACAGTACAGAAATGAGGCCTATTAATTTGAGAAGGTCTTAATAATTGGGAATTACAGGTGTGCTTTAACAAACCAGTACTCTTCTGTTTAGGCAAGGTGTGTGTGTGTTATATGGAACAAAACTGAGTCATGGTGCCATGGTGGTATGGTGAGGTAAGGCAGGGCTTTTCATACGTAAGTGTAAATCTCAATGTCCTACTGAAAATATTCAGTACAGTATATGGGTGTCGATCCCTATAGCAAATAGCTAGAATAGGAGTATGAAATACTGTATACAGGTATACAAATGTTATACAGGGTATCTGATTTTTTATCAAATAAATTAGGTTAAATTAACTCAATTAACTCCCCCTCTGTTAATAATAATCATTGACTAAAGTTTTCCAATTTTTGCTTGTTAGTTTGAGGTAAGCTTTAAACTAGGCAACAATTATATCCATATTTTATGTGCATCAATGTATAGGTGAGGTTCTCACCTACCCATCCAACCTCTTCAGGTTTTTACTACATCATTCAAAGCCTTATATCCAATTCAAAGACCTAGAATCTGTATACTAATCTGAATAATGTTACAGGTGTACAGTGACTGGTGTCATGAGTTTGAGAAGTACAAACTGGCTATGAAGACTTGGGAAAGGAAACAAGCAGTATGTATACATGGCAGCTCTGCTAATAATGTCTCTTGTTCTTACTGTAGTTTCTGTGATAATAGGCTAATTTAATATGTTAAATGTTTCAGATACTCCAATTTTCTCTTATAAATTTAAGGATACATTACTTGGAGTCTCAGCATACTGTACTTAATATTATCATGGAAATTAGACATCAAGTAACCCATGGCTGCCTTTACATTGACCTTATTGGGTATGATTATTGCATGATTTAGTTAATTATAATTTATGAATGTTTATAAATTCCTTTCATTTAACACTGTAGAATACTAAATAAATTTTTATTTTTACAGCAATGTGCCAATAGGAATAACATTAGCCAGCAGAACAGCCATCCCAACGACATTTATACCAGGAGTAACCCGTTTGTCTGATCACGTCCATTAAATGAACTCATCTCATAAAACCATAGAGGTAGATGTGACAGGAACTTTCCTTCCTTGTGATGGTCAAGAATTTGCCTGTTTGTAATTGGTTCAGCACTTGTAAGTTGTAAATGATTGAAAATGATATGTTGTGGAATTTTCTCAAGTAAAATTGCCATTAAATTGAGTTGGCATGTGACAACAGTTATATTAGTTGTAAAATAATGGAAAAGGTAATATTCAAAGAATGTTCAAGATTCATGTTATTTGAAAGTTCTCACATTGAAAGTGTATTAATGTGGGAAGGATTGTACTCAGTGATGGTGCCACCAGAAGAAAGGTGCTAATATCAATTGGTGCCAGATGAAAGGAAATCATAACCAAAAAATAAATGGTTTTGACAGGCAACTTGACCCAAATACTCCAATAACAATCAGGGTACCGTTAGCTATTTGACATGTATTCAGTTTCTTTTTGCCACTCCTGATAAGAAGTTTTGACTGTGTGAGGGAGTTCTCTAGGTGTAGGTCTTGCTCCCGGACAATCGCCTTTGGGCATTATTGCTTCTGCATTCTAAGAGCTTGAGTGAGCAGTGGATCTTAGAACTTCTGGATTTTAGTTAAAGTGTGAAAGGATGGACCCAAGAGGTATGGACTTCCAAACATATCCTTACAGGAGGCCACTGTCCCCTATTATCGAGTGTGACAAGGACACACTACTTAGTGATATAAATATGGATCCCCCCAAACTGATGGAATGGTGCATTTTTATGGCAAAAAAGGTTCCTGGTAGGCTTTTAGAGTGATGCTGTTTGTGAAAGGATAAGGAAATTATTTATTTTCATTGTGTGGGAAGAGAAGAAAGCAGTGAAGTGAAACTCTGAGTATTCACTCCACCAGCCCATGGAAACCTGGTCTTCAATTGGAATATTGTTGAAATCATTCTTAAAATAATTGCAGTAATGAAATCTACCCTTCCTCAGGTTGAAAAGTCCCCTGTTTTGTATATTATTACTGGCATTTGACAGACCCTTCATCCTGATATTTTGTAAGCATTTTCTAAACTACCTCTGCCTTTTCATGATTGTTATCATTAAGAAATTTAATGAAGGACTAAGAAGAAAACTAATATCAGGAAATCTCCATCCACATACTCAGAATATTTTGTGGTTCCATGAAGAAGAAATAGGATCACGTTAATGGAAGCATAATCAGTGAAGGATGTGTTTAATCTAAAAAATAAAAATCTTTCCATAGAATTTCATAATTATATATATCTAAGAAAGTGAAAAAAGAAAAGCTAAAGAAGTAACATGTTTTGGGATACTTTAGGGTGATGTGTGGACAAGACTTCTTTTATACAGCTAATTTTTAGACTTGTCTTGTAATATACACATACGTTGGAACATTCTCTTAAGGTGACCTGTTTTTGTTTAAAAAATAATCATATCCCCCCCTAGATTTAAGTACAGTATTTCCATTTATGAAAGCCCATCCCATAATATTAAAAGAGTCCACTCCAGCCGTCTGTTCATTCACTAGGAAGCATTATACATGTGGCTATTAGATACAAACATGAACTGCGCACATGTATCTTAATTTTCCGTAGCTCCCCTTTTGAGAAAGTTCCATTTCACATGCCGATCCACGCTAAGATTTTCGTTTTCTGTCCTGTGATACGCGCCAATTTTGTAAGACTCGTACATAATAATATTGCTCCATATAAGCAGGTTAGTAACACTTCAGTGTAAGTAATGAAATGTAAATATGTGTGTATCTGCTGTTTATTTCCTTAGGAAGTATCAGTTTATGGCCTGCTACACTTTTGTCTTCAACATGCTAGAATGGCTGACCTAACACTTACCTTTCTCTGTTTCTAAGTAAAAAAAAAAAAAAAAAATGCTCCTTTGCTTAATTCTCAGTTCAAGGAAGGTTAACCTGAGTATATTTTCTCTTCAACATGACTTACTCTGCACAGAAACCTGTTGGCTAGAGGTTCCCAAAAATTTTTACTTGTCCAAAATAGTCAAAATGTGAACCCTCTTAAGCCAGATGCAGAAAGTGTAAATACAGAGCTTGGCATTTCTAGCATGGAAAAAGACTACATCAATATGCTTGTTTTGGGTTGTGAATGATGGGCTGCAGACTGAACGTGTAACTGACATGGCACTCGAGATGTTTGAATGTTCATGAATATTACTTAAAAGGTACTTTAGTTTTGCTGCTATTGCAGTATGTACAGTACAGTATTTTTATTGTCATTTTAGCCACAGCCTAGTTTACATTTTAAATTTCCCATGGAAAGGCTTTTAATACTTCTCTGCTGTTGTATGTTTTATTTAATATTAAGTAAGCTTATCCATTAGGTGATTCCCATTTCATTTACTTATGTTAGCTGTTACCTTCAGCTGGGTTATTTTTCAGAATATGAACTGAAAATTGAGGTTTAAGATTTGTCTGTAGGCTATGATCTAGGAGTTTGTAATGTGAAAATATTCCTGTAAAATAAAATTTCTTTTTTAGAAAAGGATTTTTATTTCCTTATTGTTACTGTGCTCTGATATAACAGTACTGTACTGTTGTAAGTCTTATTAATACCCTCCCGAGTCCTCTGCTATCCTCCAAACACATAGTTTTCTGCGGTGTCCAATACTTTGTACAAATCATGTTTTTTGACTGTTTTGTTCTTAAATACATGTGTCCATATTATTATGTGATTATCCAGTATTATATGTTATTAGACATCCTCTACATGATCAGACCACCTCATCTTGTTCCTCATTAACTTTTGACCACAAATCCCTTAACTTTGTTTTTTCAATGCACTTTGCTCATATTTAACATCTATTAAAACATTTACTCTCAAATAATGAACTTCAATAGCCTATATATACTGTATATATATCTCTCTTATTAGTAAGGGGCAGGAGACCCTCTTTTATGTCCATAGCATCAATTTTCTTATCAAAATTTTGCTGATTATTTTAATTATTTCTCTGGTTCACCCACTGTTGAGTCACATTTGTCTAGTACAGAACTAAGCTGAAGTATGGGTGTGGCAGCCAAAAGGATACAGCTCTTGCCCTCTGTCCTAAAGATCACCTTTTCATGCCCCCCCCCCCCATAGCGACAGTATGCAATTTCATCACAATTCCCATATTTTTAGGTTAATTTGGTTCTGGGTTTATAAAACCTTATCGAAAATTAAATAATTGCCCCCCAAAATGCCCACTCAATCCCAGATACTCTACAGTAAACCCTGGATAACTCGGCATTTGATAATTCGGAAATTCATATAACGCAGGACGGCTATACTCTCGGAATTTATATAAAAATAGCTCTGAAAAAAAAAACGAGTTATTAAAACAATCTTTGAAAATCTCGGAATATTTACTATAACTCATCTGGTGCCGAGTTGCGTGGGTAGCGGTGACTAACCTCTTGGTCAGTCTAGCATTTGTTATTGTCGTGGTCGGGTGTGTGCTGGTTGTCTTTCCAAGTGAAAATCAAATTATTTTGTGTAAATAAACAAATTACAGTAGTATACATAAGTGCCACACTGTTTACGTAGCATCCCCCTTCCATCACTTACCTCGCCTACCATTTCCGTGTCACCTACCATGCCCCTGCGTCACCTACCATGCTTCTGTGTCACCTACCATGCCCCTGCATCACCTACCATGCCACCTGCATCACCTACCATGCCACCTGCATCACCTACCAAGCTTCTGTGTCACCTACCATGCCCCTGCACCCACCATGCCCTGCACCACCTACCATGCCCCACCCACTATGCACCCACCATGCCTACCATGCGTCACCTACCATGCCCCTGCACCACCTACCATGCCTCTGTGTCACCTACCATGCCCCTGCACCACCTACCATGCCTCTGTGTCACCTACCATTTCCGTGTCACCTACCATGCCTCTGTGTCAGCTACCATGCCTGTGTCAGTTACCATGCCCCTGCATCACCTACCATGCCTCTGTTGCCTACTACAATGCTTCATTCTTTGCCTGCAATGCTGGTAAGTGTTACTTTTTTTTTAAATTAGTGCTGTAATTACATGTACAGGTTCACATATATGGGCCAATAATGTTTTATTGTTGGGGGGGGTGGGAGTACCTTTTTGAATTTGGGATAATTCAGTAAGGTCAAAGCCCCAAAGATGCTGAGTTATCAATTGATTGATTGTGGAAATTACATCCCTGGCGATGCAACAGCTTAGGTCAAATGTTGCTGAATTAAAATAAGGCTTAAAAGACTAAAATTAAATACAGTTCCTCCCCGACTTACAACCTACTCGACTTACGACCACCCGCACTTACGACCGGCCTCAGTCGTACCAAAATTTTGTCAAATTACGTATTTTCGAGTCCCAACGTCAGTACACGGACAAAATTTTCGTTTGTAATTCACTTTAAAATGGCTGGCAAGCTTAAAAGTGAGAGTTTTGTGGTGCTTAGAAGAAAAAGAGACACCCATTTTAGATTTTCCATGTATTATTTAAGCATTTTCGACTTATGACCATTTCGACTTACGACCTGGATTTGGGTCCCTAACCCCGTCCTAAGTCAGGGAGGAGCTGTAATGCAAGGTTATCAAGGTTTTCCGGCATTGTGCCGTAATTTTATTTTATTTTATTTTTTTACGGGGAATAGCCCACCCGGGCACAGGTCATCGACCCACAACGGGGCCTAGGGGGAGAAATAATAAGAAGGCAAGCATGAACTCCGCATGCTTCCCAGTTGGGCGCTGTAAAAGCCCATGCACAGGATGTAAGGGGGTGCCCAATAAACTAGCCCCCTCAGGGGCAATCTAAAAAAATAAAAAATTAAAATAGAAAATAAAAAGGTAATAGTAATCTACACAGTACCACAAAAATGCAGGAAAACCAGCTTTTTAAAGTGAGACAGATTGTATGAGTGTGGAAACACAGAAGAAGGCAGAGCATTCCACAGTTTAGCTGTGTGAGGAAAGAAAGATGTATTATAATGGGTAATTCTAGTGTGACCGACATCCACAGAGAAACGGTCGGCACCGCGAGCAAGACGAGTTCTACGAACCCACGGCCTTTGCCGGTGGTACACGGGATGCCAAATCCTCCGAACATTACCTGTTAAAGTACCTGTAAAAGAGAGAGAGTGAAGCAACATTGGGGCGAAGAGAAAGGGAAGAAAGATTATCAACTAAAGTAGGAGAGTTAATATGACAAAATGCCTTTGATTCCACCCTATCTATCATGTTGGCAGTCCATTACAAGGTTGCTTCATAGTAGATGTGCTACAGGTATTATGGCATCTCATATAATGCTCTCCAGTACTTTACTCACTATGCTGATCTGGCTCACTGGTCTATAATTATTGTGGAATAACAATTGTCCTGCTTAAATATAGGACTCGCTCATTCAGGCATTTACAGAACAGGATATTAAGGGGATCGGCAAGCTTGATACATAACTCTCTCATCACTCAGGGATGCACCATGTAAGGGCCGAGACTCTTATGAACCTTTAGATTTGACAATTTATTTTTTATATCCTCTTCTGAGAACACAATGTGGGTCAGCACTATGTCAAACTGTCTCTCCTCAAACGCAGAAAGATTGTTCTCATCCTTTTTTTGTGAACACCGGGGAAAATAATTTATTTAACGCCCTCGCCTTGTCGTGATCTGAATCTGCGTAACCACCATCTTTAAGCCTCAGATTCGATATGCCTACATGCATTTTGAATTTCAATTTTGCATAGCAATAGAAACCCTTTGGATTTGACTTGACTTCGCTTGTAATCTGCCTCTGGAACTCATTTTCAGGCCTTCTGCACCCTGACTTTGCTTGGTTCCTGGACCTGGCATATATCCTCCTGTCCAGCTCATTATTTGTCCTAGCCCACGTCTTGAATTTCTTGAGATTTTTTCTTAACTTTGTCAATCATAGTCAATGTGTAATGGTCTCCTTGTATTCCTGGAGTCAATGGGTTTGAGTTTGAGTACAGCTCCTCCCCGACTTAGGACGGGGTTAGGGACCCAAATCCAGGTCGTAAGTCGAAAATGCGAAAATAGTACATAGAAAATCTAAAATGGGTGTCTCTTTTTCTTCTCAGAACCACAAAACTCTCACTTTCAAGCTTGCCAGCCATTTTAAAGTGAATTACAAACGAAAATTTTCTCTATACCGACATTGGGACTCGAAAATACGTAATTTGACAAAATTTTGGTACAACTGAGGCCAGTTGTAAGTGCGAGTGGTCGTAAGTTGAGTAGATCGTAAGTCGGGGAGGAGCTGTACAGTTAAGTATTCTTTTCTATCTCCCTATACTGTAAAAGAATCAATATAGAGTTTGCTTATGGCAACTTCTCAATATTAACCCAGTCAGCTTCAGGAGTGGCCAGAGGAATGGCTGTTGAGACTAAATGTCATGAAATGCAAAAGGATACACACTGGTTGTGCCAATAGTAAGAAGACGTGTTACATGTTCCAACGAGACGTGGAAGCATCATTAACTAAGACCAAATGTGAAAAGGACCTGGGTGTGTATGTCGACAACTAACTGAAGTTCTCGGACCATTGTGAGAGTCCTCAAGAGATGCTAGAGCTAGACACTCAGTTAATTGAAAATGAACAAAGGAGGACCACCAGACAGGTGCCTCACTACAGCATCTCAGTTACCCAGAGATTGAACTTCCTGCAGTTGCCCAGAGTACAGTACAGTGCAGTACAGTACAGTACAGTACAGTACAGTACAGTACAGTGTAAATTTGCATTTTCAACCAAAATGGCTCTCAAGTTGAGCAAAATGCTTTTTGATTGTTTTGACAATTTTTAGAAATGTTTCTATGATGTTTCCCTCGCAAATGACTTGAATATACCAGGGGATGCAAGGGGGCAGAGTCCTTCCGTCAGAAAGTTAGCTTGGGTAATTTTAGGTCATTTGAGAGGGAAACATCATCGATGAGAAGTGTCTTAAAAATATCTAAACCATCAGAAAAACACATTGCTCAACTCGAGAGCCATATTGATTGAAAATGCAAATTTACCTTGTACAGGTATACTATAGGCGGGCAAGGGGTGACTTAATATAAGCATAAACACCTCCAAGGTCATTTACTCAGTCGAGAGTAAATGGAGCTGGCAGAAGCCCGCCTCGTTATGGGTCACAGCTTAAGGTCAAAGAAGCCACAAGTTAAAAAAATTGTCAAGGCAAACTCTTTTGGAGTGAGAGTTGGTAACTCTCGGAACACCCTGTCAGAGGACTGTTATGTGAAATTTCTACCAGTATGAAATAGCTATCTGTGTGGGAGGCACATTTTTCCAACAGGTAGTAGGCAGCTACCAAACTGGGAAGATATTGGAAGCATACTGTGTTGTCTAATGGTAGACCCTGCTGCCATATGGCATAACAAAATTTGTGACCAAGTCCCAGGTTGCTGATCTGACTTTGTCTCATTTACACACAATTGCAGGGTCTCAATTGACACCCTTACTATTGACAACACAAGATATACGTAATATATGTGACAGAAGAAATAAAGTATCGAAAAGAATATTAACTTATAAAATATAAACAAAGAAATATAAGATATACCTGTATACTTATAAACAGAAAGACTAAGAAAATAAGATTAATAGAAAATATAGATATGAAGCAAGTATATAAGTATTGAAGAATAAATACAATAAATATGAAATAAAAAAACGAGCCCCCTCAGGGTCGGGTTAAGCTTAATAGGGCCCTGAGGCACAGATCAACTTGGGGCCCCTGCCCTCAAGGTATATATAAATAACAAGAACAAAATATACCCAAATTTATCAATAATTTCATCAATATTAAGCTTCTGCAAAATAACACATTTAATGTTCATAAGAGACAGAAAATTGAGACTTTGCTAGGACATCGTTGAACGAAGTTCATGTTTTATACGCTTCAGCTTCAGCTTGAGCTTCGAGAATGTTTGGATTTGGGGGCCCCTTAGAGTCGGGGGCCCTGCGGCCAGTGCCTCAAGTGCCTCATGGTTAATCTGGCACTGAGCCACCTGCACTAGGCACCACAGCTACCATGAGAGATTGCAGCGCCTGAACCTGCCTAGTTTATACTACAGACGGACAAGGGGAGACCCAATAGAGGTTTAAAAGCATCTCACAGGGCACTACCTCACCTGGAGCTGCCCCACGAGGGTCACAGCTCAACACTGAAGCAGCCCCAAAACCAGAGAACTGAGAGGTAACCTTTATTGTTGTGACGGCACCCAGTGTGACCTCTTTCAAGACCAGACTTAACAAACACTGGAGCAGGTTCAGCAGGCCTTCCATCCTTTCCTCACCTTAACCTAAAAAAAAAAGAAAGACGTGACCGATCAGTGGTGGAGGAGATAAAGGTAAACAAAAGAGTAAACTGTAAACACCCCGACAGGATGACTAACTACAGTCATTAATATTTTCTCTTTAACTTCTATTAAACAAAATTATTACTCGATCATATAAATATTATAATTTTCTAAAGTAACTAAGCTGATAAATGTTAAAATTATTAAAAAAAAACTAAGTGTGTTCGTACCCCTCTAGTACTGATGGCCGTAGAGGTAAACAAGGTGGTGGCCCAGAACACTCAGGTGAGACTATTTTCCTCATATATTGATCTTGTAGTGTTCATATAATGCTTAATTCATGTTCTATTAGGTTCTATGCATTGTCGTTTCCATTTTTGTTTTTAATATATAAGTGTATAGAAAAAATTTCAATTCGGACAATTCCTTCTGGTGGTCACTCTCTTCTACACCTTTACCGTCAGTTCTTATAAAGGTGGAACAGATAACTATCAGCAGTAGGAGTTGTTCAGTTTCGTTGGTAGTAACAGTGGTAACTCACATAACTCTCACCAGTATGTCAAGGGCTCGAGCCTCGGTCTGGAGACACGTGTGACCCTACCAAACACCCCATGTTTCCTCCTGTACTAACACTGGATAGACCGCCCAAACTGATAGTGAGCTGATAAGTGGCGGATATGATTAAAAAAAATATCCCGCTCAGTTTGTGTATTAAAAAGGTAAAAGTTTTACAATTATTACCTGTACTATTTCTGGAAAGATAGCTGTTCGTTCAGTAGCTGTCCTAAATTTAGTGGTCATAGCTAATTCACAAATTTTCTGAGGTGAATTTCTCTAACCCAAGCGTTCATACTGCTCAGGATTACTGTACAGTATACTATTAATCTGACCTTGGATCACCTCAAGATTTGGCCCTTGAAGCTTATCCCACCTGAAGATTAATCACCCTTATGTTACCTAATCTAGCCTCCCCTAGGTACAGTAGTTTTGTACCATACTGTAACTGCAATTTTTAATAAGTCAAAAGTCTGATCCAGTTATAAACCAAAAAATATCTGTTGATATTTTTATTTACTAATGATATTACCATCTGTCATTACATATTTCTGTTCTGTAACCTGATAACAGTATTTTTTACATTTACAGATCAGTAAGAATGGCAGGAGTGTATGGAGTTCTGCGCAATCTTCAGCATCTTCAGAGAGGGAGCTATGTAGCTTTGCTGAAAGTACCGTCTGTTTTATCATGCACTACTAAAGTTCATCTTTGTAGTAGAATTACTGAGGTAAGATATTGATTTCTTAAACTGTACAGTGCAGTATTATATTTGTAATAACAGTGAAGGAATAAGTGCCATTGCTTTTAAGAGTAAAGGTTCTAACTTCATATTGTATAGGGTCAATAAGTAATGAGAAATCAGTACTGTACATGTAAATTTTAACACACTACAAGTATATGAAAGTCACCCAAGCAAGTTTTATACTGTACATAGTACAAACATATGAAAGTCATGTTAAAATAAAGTGAAAACATGAGTTTAGCAGCCTTTAACTTGTCTTTGTGTTACAGCAGATCTTAATGCTAATCATGAATTCTTGTCCAACAGAAACAAATCCACATTTGCAGAAAATCACAAAGTTTGCTTTTGACACGGAAGTTTAGCTCTCAGGAAAAACAGACACCATCTTCTAACACTGAGTCACAGTAAGTTTTATGAAGGTTGTTTATTTATTTACATCAGATTGGGATGTGAGTAAAACTTTTTATATAGAATGTCTTGTTTTATTAAAAATATTCAAAGATTGATTAGACTGGAGTGATGAAGCTAATATTGTAGTAGCAGAAAATATTTGTGATGGCTTTTCAATCATACATAGTTACGTTCTCTCAGGATAATTAAGACATCATTGTCACTTGAAGCCACCAGTTTTTTACTTTTCTTATAAGCACTTGATTTGTTCTTGAGGGAAAACTGACTTTCAATTCTTTCTCATTTTGCTTTAGAGAGTATACAGGTTGATAATCCTTTATCTGAAATTTCTGAAACTGAAAAACTCCAAAAACCAAAGGAAATTCTAAAAAGCGCAGGGAATATTGGTCACTCAATTGACCTGAGCTGATCCAAATGTACCCGACCATTACCTCGGTTTGTTCGACTCAGTTGTTTGTTAAAACAGTTTACTGTCAGACATACTTGCCATATTCTGAGCAATAGATATCTCTAGGAGCAAGATAATTTTTTTGGTCATCTGAAGAAATTAAAATGGACTCATAAATAGAGATGTACTGTAAATATATAAACACATACATTATTAAATCTGGACATTTACTATGCTGGCTATATATGATATGCCTTTTACAAAGAATATTTATAACAACCATATCTGATACTGTAGCTGTATGTCTCAATGTGCAGTTATAGTGCTTTAAAAAATGAATTTGATAGACTTTGGCCTGGACCTCTGGATGATCTACCACTCACCCAAAGGGGTCCAGACCCAGCATGCCAAAAACTAAAAAATTCTGGACTCCATGACTCGTTCGACTCCAAGGATTTCGGATAAAGGTTTTTCAACCTTCTGTTTAAAAAAACAATGATCAACAGATTATGCATACTTCTTAAAGTTATGTAGCTCCTTTGTTGTGAAAGGTATTGTCATGTTATTTTCATGATTAAGCAGTAGAGTTAATCAAGGGAGCACAAATGGTTGTCGTCTATGCCTCCTTTTCCATATAAGGAATTAACCAACCTTACCCATTTTGAGCATATTATGATCGCTTCACTGTTGTCATCATGCACAGTTGTCCAGTAAATATTTTATTGTTCATTTTTTGACACATGAAGATGAGAAAATGGTCGTTAATCAAATTGTTTGGGAACTGACTTACATTCACTGCTCCATTGTATGTGAAATAGTACCCTCACAGTAATGATATGTATGTGTGTGTGTGTGTGTTAATTATGTTCCTTAATATGATGATGTTTGTCCTCAGAGTTGATATTGGACCTGGATCCTGGAAGGAAATATACCATGGGATCCTCTCAACCCAGATAAAGATGGTGAAATTGTTCTCTCTCTCCACTTCTTTCTTGGGTCTCATGGTACAGCCTGTGCTGTTGCAGGTCAGTAGGCAACTTCAAGGCATAATTCACTGATAGCATGATTTAAAAGTTTTTAAATTGGTAGATATTTATTCAGTAAAGTCATAATACTGTAGACTGTACCCTCGTTAATTTGGATTTCAGCTTAATTTATTTATTTTAATGAATTCAACTATTTGAATTCAGGATGAATCCGTAATAACCAAGTGGTTCCAAAAAGTTGCACTGCGATGAGCTTAAAATTTCCGTCTCATCAATTCAACCGTTTGCTCTTGCAGCTTTCCAACCAGGCTCGGGTCAGGTGTCATCCCACTTGGATGATTTCCCTCTGGAAGGTTGTCTTTTCTGTGCTGTTTTTGCCATCTCATTTGGACGATTCCCAATTTTAATTATTATTGTTATTAAATAATTAAATGTTATTCATTTGTATCAAGATATTTCGTGCTATAGCTGTATTCGTATTCATGAAAAAATAAAGTATAGAGGGTATTTGTAGATCCTGTCAGCAAGTCAGGTTGACAAACTTAATAGTCACGTAACCTGTGGCTGGGTCACTTAACGTCAGCTTACCTTATATTAGCGTCATGGCAAAAGCAGGAGGAAATAGTCAAGTCATTTAGTTAGGTCTTAAGTGTGGAAAGAAACAGTCAGTAATCGTTATAATAAAATAACATTCATTATATAATTTGTTGTATTTTGTTATTCGTAATCTAATTCATATTATATTCCTATAATTCATTCAACCTAATATAAATCATAATATATTCCTATAAAAAATACTGTATTTCTAATAGTAGAACTTGTGATGTTTGGATGATTTTTAGCAATAATCATCCATTTGGGAATCCTCCAAGTGGGAAGAAATCATATACCTGGGAATTGTCTTAGTGGCACTTCAGCTATCATGAGGTAGCTGATGACCAGCGGGGCTGGGAGGTTATGCAGCATTGCTACCTCATCAGTTGAGATACTTAGTGCATTAAAGCAGATGTTCTTTTTGTAGATTTATGGGATAATGTTGCTAATTGTGTTGCTGGAAATATAAATCTGAAATAGTTTGAAACAATTTTGCATACCTAAGTAAAATTAATACAATATGTGATAAAATCGTAGGTAAACTATTATTGCCCGTAAGTCTGACAACACCATGCATGTTGGACGCTAGTGTTCTCCCTTGATTTATATAATTTACATTAGTGTTAATTCTAGTGTAATACAGGAAAAGCATTCATATAGCAACCATTATAAAACTGATCTTTAGCCATTGCTTAACAGTAAATGGTATTCATTTCTTAACATTGTAAAACTGATGAAGCACATGTAGATCCATTGTTTAACAGTCATTGCCTGTATACTGCAAGTTCTTTCCTGTTTCAGAAAGTTGTTGGTACACAAATGGGTGTGATACTGGCTGTTGGTTCTTTTATTGGATTCTTCACCTTTGTAACACCATTAATCATTCACTGGATCACAAAGAAGTATGTGACTAGTTTGGAGTATGACCCCAAGAGGGATATATATTCAGCCACCACTCTATCGTTCTTCCTGAGGCAGAAAAAGGTAATGCATATGTAGAAAGATATACCTACCTAATTCATTGCTGTGTATAAATTTGTTTTTGTACAGGTTAGCACTTTAATTTGCCTTCATAATTTAAGAATGGGGCTCTTCTCATATTGCAGCATCTGTAAATATAGTTACATCCACACTTAGATTTAGGTTTACATACTTATATCCAGTGGTGTCAGTAGCAGTGTGGAGAACCATATCCCTCTCACATGACTCTGGGCCCATCAAGGGCATGTCTTGAATCCTCTTCTGTTTATCATGATAGTAGAGGCACTGTCTCAATATTTTAGGACTGGTCTACCCTGGGAGAAATTGTAAATGGATGACTTAGTGTTGATACTTATAGAATTAAGGAGATATTTAAAAAAATGGAAGGCTGGACTGGATTCAGAGCTTATGAGAGTAAACATGGAAAACACTAAAATAATGATTAATAGAAAGGATGACAATATGCTGTCTGTAAAACGGGTGATTAGCAGTAATTCAGTAATATGCAGTGAGTGTGGAATGTGGATCCACATAAGGTGCAGTGTTATCAATGATAGTCTGCAAGATGCTGCAAACTGTAAGGGCGCTGTGTGTGCAGGTAATCGTGTGGCCTTAACAAGAGTGGAGAGGCATGACATTGGGGATATATCCCTGAATTGAGTCGGTGAATTCTGCTACGTGGGTGACATGGTCAGTGCTGCGGGTGGTGCTACAGCTAGCTCAGTTGCAAGAGTCAGAAGTGTCTGGAAGAAGTTTAGGGAGCTTTTTATTTTTTTTACTATTATTTTTATTTTATTTTTTTTACGGAAATTTACAGGTCGAATGACCCACAGCATAAAAAGTGTTGTGTTGTGTTTCAGTTAAAGAGGATGGCTTATGGATCTGCAATGTCATGTTGAGAGATCAGGAACCCTGATCAGAGCTAAAAAGACAGCTGGGTATAGATTTTATTGCTGAGGTTTGTGTTAGGTAAGCTGAGGTGGTCCAGGCATATGGAGAGAATGGAGGATACTTATTGGGCCAAGATATGTATGAGCTTAAATGTGAAGGGGATGAGCCTGGCTAGAAATTGCCCAAGAATGACATGGGGAGAGACTTTGAAAAATAACCTCAGAGATGAGCACCTAACAAGAGAATCTGAAAGAGACAGCATCTTGAAGAACTGCCATCAGGTAATCACAGCTAACCCACACAAACATAGAAGATGGCCATAATTTGGTGATGGTAATCTTGGCCATATTGAAAACTTCCAAAAGGTGAAACCAATTTTAGACCTATTTGTATTTTCCACTTGAGATGACGATGGTTTTCACCCCTCACTATCCAGTTAAAGCAATTACAGGTAGTCCATATATTAGTAAGATGGCTCACTATCTTCAAGGCCAGGACAAAGGTTACACCTCCAGTCCTCACTCTTCAGACTCCCCAAAGTCTGTGTGGGACTCAGGTTGATGTCTCCACTCCATTTTAAGAATCCCTCTTAGCTTTGAAGGGGACATGTGATGATGACTAGACTTGTTCTTAATGATGTGGTGAGTTTTGTAGTGTTAGTATTATTCTAGGAAATTTTTTTCGGTGACACATATTGGTATCCGACTGGCCAGTAACCTAGCCCATTGAACCCCATGTTATAGTGAAACTGATTTACAATATTTTGACCTGTGATGGAGTTTTCAGGAACCTAACCCCATTGCAAGTAGTGATTTACCTGTACAGTATACATACAGGTCTGGAATAATGCAAACTGCTGATGGGTTAACATGCATTACACTTCTTTATATGATGACACTTATTTATAAGACCACTTTTCAATGCTCTGTTAGTAGCTTGAAAGCCTTGCTAATCATTTTATTAGTTTCTTGCCACTATCTTCTGGACCTAGTTTGGTTTAGCCTTGTAGACTTGGCTGGTTACATGATACAAGCCAGTTCAGTCCAGTCTTGATTATGAAATGGATATCATTATAAAATCTACAATGTTTCCAGCCAAAAGCCTGCCATGAGTTTTGTGTAAGGTTGCCAGAGTTCGACGAGAATACTCAACGATGCATCAAAGTACAAGAAAAAACTATACATACAGCATTTCAATATTGCCTTTTGACTACCAGACTGTGCGTCAACTGCAGGTAGGAATTTACTTATAATTAATTGGTACTTGAGCAAAAATTTGTCATTTCCGAGGCGTTGAAGGAGCCAAGGTGTACAGGTATGGACTTTTATCCTGTATGCTTGTATTCCAGAATATCAATGACAACAGGGTTTTTTTCTGAATCAGAAGCAAGTGGTCATAAAAATGAGCAGTAAACCTCTAATTGTCTGCAAAGTCTTGATTCACCTCAAAAGGCTTACTCCGCACTGTAAACATTAAACTTAAAGTTATAGGCATATATAGACAAATAACAACAGCATATGATAAGAAGCGGTGTACAACGTCAAATAAGCCCACGATTTTTTAAAACGCTCATCTTCAGAAAGTGGGGCATCTGGCAACAACAAGACCCACTTAATTTTCACTGGCTTGAGCTGTTTATCAAACAATCCAGAAGTATATCTAACAGGATCACCAGCTGGATGATGGGCGCAGTACCAGAAGCCCGATATTTACTACATTCTACGCTAAAATAAAACCATTATTTGTTGATCCGCCATGTTTAAAGATGAGCTGCCATTATGGACGTTTAATGGATATGATAAACCAATTAACTTTCATCTTATGGACCACAGAAGAAAGAGCGGCATAAAGTGAATAATGCGCTGTAAGTGAAACTCGTAATCAGACTTTATTATAAATGTAGATATATTTTGTGTTTTTTTTTTTAAATACATTTTTCAGATTTGTTCACTAAAATAGTTAGCAGAAAGTATTAAATGTGAATGTCTGAAAGAGCAACAAATTCCGTATGATTAAAGTTAAAAAAATAAATTCATTAGTTATTCTCCTTGTAATTGAGTAAGTATTTAATTTTAGTTTAAAGTTATTTATCAGCAGAAAGCAATTTGAGGCCCAATTACATATTTGAAAGAAAAATCTTTATACTTTACGGGTAAAGTGAATATGTATCAGGTAACTAGACGTAATCAAAAAAGTTACACCAAATTTTACACCGGTTATGTTGACCATAGTATCACGAGATACAAATGTTCGAGTATGAAAATAAAGCTATATGAATTTCTTAAATCGATTTTGTTACGGAAACTTTCCATTTATACAGGTTTAATGGATCGATGGGACCTGGACCGCATCTGTTAAAGCAACGTAATAGTTATCACTTATGAAACCACCATCAAGCACTTTTTTTCTAAATCTTTAGTGCTTCTGATATCATGGTTTATATTTCCATTGTCTTTGAAGTTACATTGTCCACAAGTATCACTGGTATGAATTAATCTTTCTGTTTAGAATTATAAATTGTTATAAAACCCACACCATGATTCCAGCGTAAACAGAAATTAATGCGTCTAATTTCTGCAAATATTTCAACCTTCAAAACAGAGATACTTTTATATTTGAAGCCGCAACCCAGTAGGTCATTAGTTATAGGAGGAGTTCCGAATCCTCAAACCTGGAAATCTATAATGAATTGAATTTCGAAAATTGATGACTAAAAATGAAATTTAAAATGTCCGGCTTTTATGAAAAATTTTTCCGGTGGCTGGAAAATAGAGAGTAACTGGACAATGTTTTTAAATAAAGGATGAGTTGGCAAAGCATTTTGGGGGACTGATTCGGACCTGACCATCGTCGTGGTGGAGGTAGGTGGGATACCTGGATATGTCAGAAGGGCCTCCACATACTTATACCATTTTGATTCGAGCCCTTCCGCTAGGCTTAACTTGTCCTTCGTCTCTTCTTAGTTTGGATCCATCAGGGCCTTGGTCTGCCTGGCCCACTTCCACCTCGAATGCTTTAATATTTATCCGACGCGACGTGTCTCCAGCCACTTCCATTCATTTTCATCAGCTATCCATCTAATCGAACATTTGTGACTTTTGCCTGTCTTGTTTAATATGATCACCATCTTAAGTTGTACCCTCAATGCCTTATTTGTGCTGAATTCTGTGATAAATGTCATTATACCAAGATTCACTTCCAAACTGCATTCTAGTGAAGTATATAACTCAGTTTACATTGGTATGGACTAGTCTATGACTTCAACACTTTGCCCAGCATACCCCAAGTGTCAACTCTGAGGGAACCTTGGGGTTGCCCCTGAGAGCCCTGGCTCAATCTCCCAAAGAGTCCCAGGCCTGCTGCCCAAGATCCCCAGCAACCCTGAAAGAGCCCCCCACTGGTGCCACTGCCCTGAAGCCTCGGCCCACCACCCTGAGTCCCCAGCTTCACTGCCCTGGCGACCTTCAACACTATGCTCCGGAACAGAATCCTACCATATTTTCAGAACTCACACCCCCTTGGGGCGAACTTAATCCTATTCTAAAGGAATCTGTTCTGAAGGAATCCTACCTATTCCCAGCAGAACCCAACCATCTTCTCAAGGATCCCACCAGACTAAGGGCAGTAGATGCAGGCAACCCTGGCCATTAGGTATGCAACTTCCCATATGTCAGTGCCTTGAAGACATTACGATGCGCCCGAGCTGTTCATCCACCGATCTAAGCCTTCAACGGTCGTTTTATGTCAACACAGAGACCCGCTTAAAGTATTATCAACCACAACCGCTTATGGCACCAGATATTCACACTCAAAGAGTCTTTGACGCAAAGAAATTATTGAGTCTTGGAGCAACACGCCTTAAAATAACCGAGGAGCTCTGCCCAAAATTACCACATGCGTTAGACCCAAACTGGATATGGTGAGAAAAAATACCTCATCTACGAGGCTACACTCAACGCACGAACCCATTCATGATGCTAGTGTTCCTAAACTGGTGCCCCAGGTCCTCATACTAATCCCAAGTCTACTAGTTGACGCCTATGAGCCACCTTGATTTCAGCCAATATCCTTGTATAAAAACCATTAATGCCAAGATAAAGACAATGTCCCAC